GACATTCTACTCTAAGTAATTAAATAAATTCCATATTTCAAACACATTTGTGATTAAAAACAAGCATTTGTGGTTAGAAAAGTATATAATTTATTTATCTTTAAAGAAAATGACCAAAAATTATCGTTTCCTCTGAACACAACACACTGATTGTAGAGAGAAACATTACTTGATATTGCATATGTATGTTTTTTCAAAAGAGCTCTTGAGGGAAAAAAGTGGCATACAACTTTCTATGAAACATATCTGTGATGTTCATTTGTTAGGCCTTGAATTCATGCCAGAATGCTACAGCAATGATCCCTCTTCTGAACATTTAATATGGCTCGAACAAGCTATGCTGACAGCGGACTGTTACGACTGATCCTCACTTGCTGCAGTTGATGATGACGTCTTCAGGCTGATTTCCTCTGACCTGCCCCCCTCCATCTCCCCATTCTGTCACACACATACACACACTCGACCATGAATGGCACCCCTGGGCCATTAGCCAGGGAGCAGAGCCCAGCGCAGAGGGGAGGAAAAGAGTAAAATTAGAGGGAAAGTGAGAGAAGGGCCCAAAAATGGCCCACGAACAGATTCTCAATCCTCACAGACCCACAAATCAATTACAACGCATAAGAGCACAGCACGATCCATGACTCTATACCGTTGAATAAATCAAATTTACTAAATGGCACAACAAACTGGCAATCAAGAAATGTGTCACTGTATTTAAAGGTAAAAGGCAATTTCTGTGAAAACAAACGGAAAAAAAAAGAAAAAAGTAGCCCCTTTTCTCCAATTTACTTTTAAACTGTTGCCGTGGTTTGATTTTTCTTCCAGTGGGTTAAAGATTTGATATATTGCATAAATGGTATTCTACTTGAAATATTTTATTCATTTTATATTCTACCAATGATAAAACTGTGCTTGATATTGATAAGTTTGTTAGGGAGTGGCACTGGTAGGGAGCCTTTGAGTTTCTTGTGAGCTCTGTTATGATTATAGGGAAGTTGAAATTGTGTTTAACACATAACATAACAGTGACTGTAAAATGGGTATTTAGGTATGGAAGTGGTATTTTGAGGTTTTAAATTTGAAATAGGGTCATTAGGCTAGTTTTGGGCTAGTTATGTTGTTCGCAGATATGGCAAACCTGAAGTGACCTTGCCCATGCAAAACTTACTACCAGACTGCTAAGATGTTTAGGGTTAAAAGAGAATTAATATGTGGCTGCTAAGACATTTGGAGTGTTTTTATTGTGTTGCTTGCTATTAGGGCTGTGCAAAAAATCGAATGCGATTTTCATGCGCATCTTGTCAGTAAAGCCGCTCCTGTGATTAGTAGTAAATCTCCAGCAATGAATCGCCTGCGATTTTGTGTAGCTTGTCAGTGAACTACGGCTGTGTGTAGTAAATGCCGCTCCATCTGAAAGCACATGCTGGAGATTTACTACTAATCACAGGAACGGCTTTACTGACGAGATGCGCATGAAAATCGCATTTGATTTTTTGCACAGCCCTACTTGCTATGCTTGCTAGCATGATCTGAGTGGTTACTAGCTGACCATGAATATCCAGTAGTGGCGTGGGTCCCTCCTTCAATCTAAATTTATGGGATTTTTTTACACCTCTTTTATCATCTGCCATGTACAAAATGTAAGTCTACTTAAAAAAAGTAACAGCACAAAGAGATTTGAGATATAATTCAGTATTAGTAATAACTTCTGGAACAGATTTCCCAAACTCTGATTGGGCTAGGCATGCACAATATATCAGCACCATAACAGTCATATATATATTTTTTTTTATATCACCAATAATGGATATTTAATTGTTTCTGTTTATTTTAACATTTAAATTACATGATCTATTCTAGCACTAACTTTAAAAGGACTAGATTATGCAGTATTATGCTAGATGCTACATTACAAGGTCAAATTATACAAACTCTTATTCAATTCCTTTGGACTTTCTAAGCTCTCTACTATAAAGTGTTAAGCTTTTAGGGACTATGTAACCAGCAGCGCAAAGGTCCCTTGTCTATTATTATGAGTCATTAATTTAAATTGAGAGTTAGAATTTAAATTCTATCATAATTTTTTACCCTCCTGTTGTTCCAAATCTAAATGACTTTATTCTGAGGAACAACGAAAAAGATATTTTGAAGAATGCTGGTAGCCATACAGTCTTGATGACCACTGACTTTCATTGTATGGACAAAAACAATACTATATAGTAGGCGATAGTAAGTAAGCTCGCAGGTACACACACCTGTCATCTCTCTCTCTCTCTCTCAAACGATCGATCGATAATTAATTGAAATACATGCTATAATTCATTCAAATAAATGTGGTCTTACCGCACTATTTCATGATTTGAAGTGGGAAGAATGCTAGCCCTAACATGCCGTAACTGACGAAAATAACACATTTTTACCCATTCAGTCAAATATTGTGCTGCAAAGAGCAATACTAGTTTTAACTTGCCTATAACTTGGCAAATGACCATGGAATAAGCGGGATAATCAATGGCTAGCCATGCATTAAAGGATTTTAAATGCACTCCGCTTCGTGTCGGGCGGTTCTTTGCCTCCACGTTGTACATTTAAAATCCTTTAATGCACGGCTAGCCATTGATTATCCCTTACATAAAGTATATATATATATATATATATATATGACATCTATTGGTTACTTGACAGAAAAAAAAGTCTTGGCGA